CGCACAGTGGGAAATGACGTGCAGTGTGGACTTGTAAATGGCCTTGGAGAAGAAAGGTCATCCACTGAGGACCAGCTAGACCCCCAAGAGCCATACTCAATGGTGTTTAAGAGCAGCTCAGAGATTCAGTTTCCCCAGGGGTTAGAGTCACCGGGATGTCGGCAGCATCAGACTCGCCCATGATTCTGGCCACAGAGGGGGCCTGGGCTAGCGGGCCTGCACCGCTGTGCCGTGTGTCTGGCACGTATCCTGCCTGATGGCAGAGCCTTTGTGCCCCCATGTTGTGCTGTGGTCAGTGAGCTGGCACCGTGTCCAGTGCTCTGCCCTCGAGGTCACCCCCACCGCTGCTGCCACCGCCTTCCTGAGAACATGTGACTTCCTGTTTTCTGAATTCTTAGCCTACAATGTCAGTTGAGTCTGAGACTGGGGGTGGGGATGGATGTCAGCAAGATGGGGGTGGGGTGAGGGGTGAGGGGTGAGGGGGTGTCCCAAGGTAGGGCTCCAAAGGGGGAAGTAAGGTGGATTCGAGGGAAGGCTTGAAGCACCGGTCAGAGCAGTCTCTGTGAAGGTCTGGAGCTGCGTAGATGAAAGGAATCCCTGAGGCACTGGGACAGAGTGGGTTGGAAGGAGCTTTGCTCCAGGGGCTCTCAGGAACTTTCCAGCGGGGTGACCTCTGGGAGCCTGGCTTCTTATCTGTGAAAACACAACTGTACAACGTAGCTCTGAGTGTTTCAACCAGACCATGCAAGGCGGATGGCTTTTCGGCTTTTCTAAACTGTAGGCAAAGCAGTGCAGGTGTGAGCCTTGTGGAGTCCTCAGAATGCGCCCAAGGAAGGAGCGCCTTCTGTGGGTCAGGCCCTCCACGCGGACTAGCTGTCTGACTTTATCCTCCCAAGGTCCAGAGGGGCAGCTTTCATCATTGTGTGTTGAAGAGTCTGCCCCCAAACCCAGCCTGAAGGGGAGGAGGGAAGAGGGGGCCCATCCTCTACTCTTTCTGCTGCGTGTACCCACAGAGCCTCTGTGTGGCAAGGGCACACCGCTGGAGGCCTGCTAGCTCGGCACGCGCCGCTGCGCCGGGTCCTCTCTGTTCGCTTGGCCTCGTTTGCTCTGCCCTCCCTGTGGTGCCTCATTAAACCATTTTTGCAGGCAGGGGACTGAAGCTCAGAGTTAAGACAGCCCTCAAACACCAAGCCAGTGAGAAACAGACTCTGGCCTTGGCTCTGAGAGTCTTTCTGCCTCAGGGGCCCATGCTCTGTCCTCGGGGCTTGTGGCTAGTGGCGTGCCAGGTGAGGAAAGCCAGAATGAACCGGCTGGGTTCCCCAGCACTTGCTTGACTTTGTGACCAAGCGTCCCACGTAAGGGCTGTGCACTCAGGAGTAGGTGGGATTCCTGGAGCCCACACTAGAGATGAGGTTCCCCCGAAACTGAGGGCCGAGGGAGTGTCCATAGCCAGGTGGACACTCCAGCTCTGCCATTTGCTGGCAGGCTTCCTGATGAAGTTGCTTCGTGGCTTCAGTCTCGTGGTCTGAGCTATGAACTGGGCAGGATAAGAGCCTCCTTAGCAGCAGAAGCTGCCGTCAGATGGTTTGAGGGGGTCGAGAGCAGATGACCAGCTCCTCAACCAGATTTGCTACAGGATTTTGGTGTGAGGACACAGCAGGGTGTGTTGACAGCTTTGACAGGACCCAGTCCCCATGACCACAAGCATGAGCCCCACAGGGGGACACTGACAAGTACATGCCCCTGGAGGAAGGAGACCCTGTCAGCCCTCAGGTCTCCCCAGGCTGACCTCCCAAGCTCCATGTCATGACATTGGAACCAGGGCTCTTGTGAGAGTGACCACGGGGCATCCGGGGATGGCGAGGCTCACTCTTGTTAATGACCCAGGACAATCTGAATTGACAAGTACTCGGACAGCTACTCCTTGAGCTGTCTCTAGCTGCCCTGGGGGTCTCGCCACAAGGCAAAGGCAGCAGCTTTTTACTCACTGGCTTAAAGTAAAAATAAAAATGACCATGCTAGCTGGTATCATGAGGATAAGCCAGGCTCCTTACCTGGTAGGCACAGCTGCATCTAGCCCTCCGGCACCAAGTGGATAAGTAATATCACTCCCTCCATCCAGTGAGGAAACTGAGGCTGAAGATGCTTGGAGCCAGGAGCATGCAGCCGTACATGCTCCCACGGTATGGGCGGGCGCACAAGGTGAAATGACTTTCCCTTTGCTCTAGAAAGCAGCTGCAGTGGCAGGCCCCTAAATAACTCCTGGAAGGCATCTGAGGGCCCTCTGCCAGAGATGGGCTGTGCTTAAGATGTGAAGAAGGCACACAAGTGGCTCAGGGACAGAGGAGGTCAGGTCTCTGTCTGTAAGCGGGAGGGGGACAGGGAGAGAGCTGGGACCAAGGGTGTCAAGATCCTACGATCACCAGGACAAGTGGCATTGTGAAGAGCTGCTGCCGGTGTGGACGCCTGAATATCAGGAAATAGAATAATAGAGGAAATAAAAAAAAAAATCTGTCCTTAGCAGGTCACCTGTCAGAGCATCCTGACTATAGCCCTTAAGGCAAACACAAGTGCCCCCACCCCATTTTATGGACAGAGGGCCCTTAGGACCAGAGAATTGAGGTTACTTTCTAGGATCAACACAGCTAGTACAGGTGGCAGGGGACACAGTGGAAGCCCCCTGCCCCAAACCCAGCCTCTTTCTAGTTCTGCAGCCCTTGGCACAGAGCCAATGCCCAACAGAGGGTTAATAAATTATGTGACTAACTTAGGACCTGAGTCCTCGCCTGGCGTTTTCCAAGGTAGCAGTGCAGTTCAGGCCCACTGCTCTCAGCACACAGACTGTCGGACTGAGAAAAGGAACTGTCCTGATAAAGGGTTGGGTTAATGTCCTTTTCTTGCCAACTCCACAAGCAGCACTTTTGTCGCTGGCCGTGAAATTATGTGGCTCTTTAAAAAGAAAGGAAGAAACCTTGTCCCTATTACTCATCTGGTGTGCGAGGGGGTGGGGGGGGTCAGTGTCCACCTCCCTGCCTGCCCCCCACAGTGCTGACTCTGCACAACACAAAGAAATACTTCTTATTTGTTCTAAATTTACTGTCCAGTATTTTTTCTGTTCTCATTTTACACGACAGGCGGCTGAGCGATTTTCTCCTGGCTCTCTCTATGAATCTCAACCACGCTGTAAATCGCCACTGACATCTCTCTGGCCCTAAAAGACAGTATCACCCCAGCTTCGGTGGCCTTTCCTGAGGGCTGGCTTCCTTCCTAGATCATTATCAGAGAAGAGCAGCCTTAGGGATGGGGCCCAGCGTCTCCCCATCACTGACACATATCCTCCTCTCAACTGTAGGAAATGTGATGAAGGCCCATCCTGGCCACGGGGATGGGGGTGGGGCAGGAGGGGAAATGAAAAAGATGCAGCCATCGGCCTCCAGTGCTTAAGGCACGAGAAGTGAAGTCTGAATTTAGAAAACTATAGGCTCTGCAGCCTCCACACTCACTGATCATCATTGGGGTCTCAGGGTTCTGATTTCTGCAGGTGCTGGGCGGAGCCAGCAGTGGTAGCCCAGGGGAGGAGCCTGTCGAAGCAGAGGTGGGCGTGGCGGGAACAAGACAGCATCTGTGAGGTTGCGGGAGCATGGGACATAAAGGGTAGAAGGAAGGGCTGGGCTATGGCTCAGTTGAGAACGTGTTTGCCTACCATGCATTAAAGCCCTGGGTTCCAGCTCCGAGACCACCGAGCATGACGGTGCACACCTGTAAATCCCAACACTCCAGATGTGGAGGCGGGAGCATTGCAAATTCAAGGTTGTCCTTGGCAATGTATTAAGTTCAAGGCCATCCTGGACTATGAGAGCAGCTGGAGAAGGAGAGGGTGGAGTTCTCTCCAGCCTGGCCTGGGAGGGTGGAGCCTTTGTGGGGCCGCAGAGTGCCAATATCCTTCGGAGTGACTGGGGCCCCGCTTCCGTGGCATGTGGGGGCAGACGGAAGGCCGCCTGCATGTCACCGCCTGTGTCCTCTACCTCTGCACAGTTCTCAGTGTGTTTCTGGTGGAGATCCAGTGAGGCCTTAATGACTGCGCTCAAAGCCACAAACACCGCACAGAACCATCACTGAAGACTCTCAACCCGTTTCTCAGAAGAGGCGGCTGAAAGGATTCCTTGCCCCCAAATAACACAGCTAGGCTTGACAGCGCCCACCGCGTCTGCCCCAACATCGGCTGGCCAGCGGCCACCAGAGGGCGCTCCTGCTTCTGAAGACATGCTGCAAAGCCATAGAGACCTCTGCTTGTGTGGTTCTCAGGCCAGAGTAGGGGCCTTGTGACACACTGGTCCATTTCTCAGATCCGGCCGCGGCACACGAATCTGGATTGAGAGAGAGAGAGAGAGAGAGAGAGAGAGAGAGAGAGAGAGAGAGAG